CGGCTCGATGTTCAGTTCTAGCTAAAGAAACTGAAAAAAATTATTTTGATGTAATTTGGCTCCTTGTAAGATAACCGGCTTATCAATATATTTTTGCTTTTCACCGATATATGCTGTTAACTTTTGTTCTGAATGAAATATTGTAAATTACGTAATTTGTATATAAAACAGGAGAAATGATACAAGATACAGATAAAGCGGTTTTGAAATTCTTTTATCGAATATTTCTCTGAGTGCAGTGGTCGGAACAATTAGATTCGGAAGTTTACCTTCTAAATAACTGTCATAACTGTGGATGAATGGGCGGGAAAGTTGATTTCTGAATAGGAAAACATTTCACGCTTTGCGTTTTTGGCAAATTCTGATCGCTTCATTTAATAACTGTCATCGTTGTCGCGATTTTAATGTTCAATAGAGACATCACTGACTGTGGAAAGGATAAGTGAACGTTTTATCGTTTGTCCTAAGGCGATATAGAGTCAGGCTATCAATTGTATTGATCGCAAAGTTTCGACTGCTAGACTTTGTCAAGCGACGACTAGCAGACGAGAACTGGCAGTTAAGGCGAAGACTACCAGTATAGCAGTCGAGACGTCGCTATCAGTCCGGCTTGATAGCTGGACCCTTCATCATTACACAAACGATAAAACGTTCATTTATCTATATAAACACGATGAAAAACTTTGTTTATAAAATGGATGTTTAGGTACTTACGTCACAGTACTGCTTGAGAAATATTGTCCTTTGTTGATTGAAATCCACTCCAATCTTCTCCATCCTTAATCTTCGTTCCTTCCAGGCAAATTCTTTGCATTTTGTTGTTTTTTTCTTCCTTATCCAGTGAGTACTTTTTGGCTCCCTGCACAATGAAGGTAATTTTCTACATCGCTACAAACGACTCTAATAAAAAATCTTAAACTATTTTAGCCAAAAAACGAACAAAAAGGGAAAAGATAGGCCTTCATGTGATGCAAGATCGCAAATAAAAAGGCATACTTTCTTTTTAAGTGCTTTTGTTGTGTGTGTCATCGCTACACTTCAAATGATAGCCACCTAATTATTTGGGTTTTTATCAAGAATTCTTGTAACTCAAACAGAAAGAAAGTGAAGCTTTAATGTGGAGGGAGACAGAAATTGTTGATTTGGATTCTTATTTCTACGCGTTTTTCTCCAGTTCTTTTGATTGAAAATGTACTTTTATTGTGGGATGAATTTTCCTTTTTGGTCACTCCTAGGAGTGAAAAGGTTAATGCTTGAATAAGTGTTTTATTCGGCAATTAATACCACAAGGAACATTATACATGCGTAATTGTGAGGTCCGCCCAACTCTTTTTGCCATCTGCTTTCATGTTTGCTATGTATCCCGCTGAATGCAAGCTCTGATCGGCTAGTTTACTGCTTTTGTCCGATCACTTCGCCATATTTTAAAGAGTGATCACGCTTATTTGCAGTAGTGATCTTTTTTCAGTTTTTTTCGGTTTGGCAGTTATTTTAATTTAAGTAACCCATAAAACCTTTACCTAGCCATGTAGGCGCGGTAAGATAATATTCTGTTGACCCACCTACCGGAGGGATCATGTTGTATTTGCGATTTCAAGGTAGGAAGTTTCAAGAAATGAGAAAGAATTTGAGACATGAGCTGGTGATAGACAAACATTTCACTTTCCTCCGGCGCCTTTAATTTTAATTTCAACCAAAGACATTGATCGCCACGATAAAAACAAATATTTTGAATTCGTTGATTCACCAGTCACGCAAGCTGATCAGCTCTTTGATCTAATTTTGGACATATCTGTTTTCGGGGTAGGTAATCCTGGTTTGGTGACGCAAACCTTGCCTGTAAATGCATGACTTCTCTCAATAACCGCGGTACGTGTGATGTTATGATAAACAGTTTAGCGTCAAGATATACCTCTTATCAGTGATTTCCAGGGTAAGATAACGCAGTATTGGGCTTTTTCAGAGGTCTGTAAGTCGAGTGCAACTCATGGAAACATTCCAAGAGAATACCGATGAAAGTAATTGCATGAAAAGATGTTTTATTGCGTTTTGGAAACGAGAGCCACATATCTAATGCACGCTCTTAGAAAAAGGTTAGACAGATGTGTCTAGTTTACAGATAATTTATTGCGTCGCTCTAATTAGACCAACAAATGGAGAAGTCGTAGCTCATGAACAGATCGTGTGAGGGTTTTGTTGACGCAAGTTTTAATCAATTAAACGGGTAAACTGTGTTTTTGATTTGAGGAACATACGCACAGATGAGATAGTTTATCTCAATAGTTGTTTGAGAAAACACGTGAACCTGTTTACACTACAGGATTATCTTTTCCAGGTGACTTGAAGACAATTCCGTGGAAGAGAGGTGATTTATTAGCAGTGCAAGATGGAAGTTCCATATTTGCTGCTCTTTTTTCTGATGTGTCTTTTACGTCTCCAAGGTGAGTCCTTTTGTTTATTGTTATTCATATGTTTAAACTTTTGCTGACTTTGGTTGCAACTTAAGAAAAATCACAAGGCCAGAATTCGAAATTGGAATTAGTCTTCTGTGAATATCAAACACCTCCCATTTTCGGAAGTCGCTGAAATAACAAACTCATAAAGGAAATTTACTATTATCAAAACTCTCTGTCATGACTTATTTTGCTACTATTGACAACAACAACAAATCAAGCCACATTTCTAACATCTTTAGAGGAAATCTTCCAAAATCATGTGATAATGACATTTTTTCTTCTCACAGGGCATAACAGAGGCTCAGTAGAACCAAACGTGATAGTTTTTTTAGTTTTCTGAATTCCACTGCGTATTTATACTGAGGCAACAATTAAAAAAAAGACTTCTTTGTGCGGAAACTCAGGAACATTTCGCCAGTTATAGAAAGAGACATATTCATTTAATTAAGGCCGCTGTTAAGTAGAGTCTAATCAAAACTGTCAGGTGCCAAATATGTTCTCGAGGGAACGACCTAAATATCTCGTTCGAGAGAGAGAAAGTTTGACTGAAGTACTAAACAATGGTTAGAGAGGGACACCAAGAGGCAAGTGAAGATTCTATCACTTGTCAAACGTGCTTTACGGACTCAGCTTTGAGCTCGATAGGAAGACATTCTTGAGAGCTAAGATGCTTTTCTCATGTAAAATCAATCTTTGAGGCAGAAAGGCGTTTGGACAAATCTAAAGACATAAACGTAAATGTGTTCTCTTTGACTTGGCCTTCTCATTTCTCTTTTTTTCTTCCGTTTCTTGTCGAGAAGATGCAGTTTCGCTCCTACCTCAGCTGCAACTTATTATTTCGTCGTTTTCACCGAAAAAGAAAGTGTGGTATAGATACCTTGGTGTGATTATCCGAGTTTCACGTTTTGCTAACATATTGCAGTACGACTCCTTTTAATTCTTCATTCTGTTTTTTTTCCTACTTATATAAACCCTTTTGATATTCCAAGCTCAAATACCAGAGGTAATTGTAATTGGAACGCGACCGTTTTCATTCGACAGTACTTTCATATTTGCGCATGATATATGGGTTTTTTGAAAAAAAAAAAGTATGTCATCACTTATGATGAGCTTTGAAAATTAATAACAAAATATTGCGTGCTTATCTACTCCACCAACGATAGCATCATTATTTCGGCATTTCCGAGTGTATTTTTGCAAGAATTGTATGTTAAAACTTTTTCTATTTGTCATAAAATTAGTAATTTAGAACTTATCTTTGAAGTTCGAAAACACGTTTTTCTAATTTTGCTCCTATTAATTGATGCATATCAAGTGAGGTTTTATAGCACCGTTTGGAAGCCATTATGTATGGTCGTGACCACGATCCAAGGCTTCATATTTGGATAGTTATTAACGTAATAAACAACAGAAATCAATAATTTGGAATTAACCGGAAGTTTTCACCTGTATCGTACCTCGTCGAAAACGTCAATTCAGATTCATTCTGCTCGACCTGTAAAAAAATTTCAAGGAATGACGTTAAAACTTATTGGTATGCAATACATAGCAAAGGAGATAAAACGACAGTCATAATGACAAATATTTGCTATGAGGTATTTGAAAAGTATGCAGCCTGTTACAGGTTTTAGTTATACGACGGTTTGTAACTGTTTGAGAGAAACTTAATCGAGGATGGAAATCACTGAATAGGAATGATTGGGAACGAGCCATCTCTTTTCCTTTTTCTCAAACTTTTTTTGGCGTTACTTTTCGCTCTGCACACCACTCGGATGGCTGGAACAAGTTAAAGAAAATATGTGAAATGTGAAGGCAAATGTTGAAAACAGATGTTTATGAACGATTTAAGAGTTTGCCTCACGCAGACACTATCTCTTATGAGTCCTTCTTAAAAGGACTGGGACTAGGGTCTTAACGGTTTTGAAATTATTTGGTCCCAATTTTCCAGTTAGGAAACTAGCTTTTTCTCAGGTAATTTAGTATTAACAACTGAGTTGAAAACGTAAATTGGCCACCGTAAAGAGTTAAAAGGCTGACGTTTCTAGCGTTAGCCCTTCGTCAGAGCGATTGAGGAAGGGCTAACGCTCGAAACGTCAGCTTCTTCACTCTGTACGGTGGCCAATTTACGTTTTCATCTCAGTTGTTCACACTAAATTACCTGCTATACTCTACCACCGACGCGGCACCACAGTTTCTTTAGAAAATTGCCCCCTTTTTTTCATTAGCTTTTCTCAGTTCTTGAGACTTTTCCTTGATCAATTAGATTTTGCTAATTAGACCGTGTAATACTCGGTTGACAATCATCTTACAGAATCTGGCAATGGTTCCGCTGGGGTGTCAGTCTTTTTCAATACAAACATCACCCGAATTATCAAAGTTACACAATCTATTGTAACTCTCGAGTAAACATTATTTACGTAACATACATTAGAGCTAACATATATTTAATGAAGTGGAGGTGGCTGGGCAGGGTTGATATTTACGGCGAGCCACCGACACTGAAGTGAATACTTGTTTCAGTATATACTAAAACAGTGAGATAATATGGCACAAAAGTATGATTTAAACTCATTCGTTCTTGCAACGATTGCAATATTTTCTGGGGGCAAATCCCACACACGTCGCTCGGAGGTTAACGGTAAGGATATCCGGAGATTTGAGTTGCCAATCACGGCGCGCCTTCAACGCTATCCACAGTTCCGTTATATACTAAAGTGCATTAATTGCAAAAATGACTCCTTTCCCTCGCTTCTGTATTATGTATGCATTATCATTGGTCTCTTTGATATTTCATACACAGATGCAACCGGTGACACGTCGGAAATTACAACAAGAGAAGGAAGAAATATCACTCTACCATGTAAGACATCTAACGGCCAGTCTGGACTTTGGCGCAAGACTGTTTGGTTTAAAGGCTCAGAGAAAGTTATTTCTATTAAAAATGGAGGCCACTTTATATACTCTCAAAGGAAATACCCAATAACTGTACTAGACAAGGAATCCATTCGCCTCGTCTATGTTGATCGTTATGATCACGGAAATTATTCATGCAGAGCGCTGTATATAGATGGAGATGCATTCAAAAACGTCCAGCAAAACATCACTCTTCTTGTGAAAGGTTAGTTCCTTTATTTAATGAGTTAACTGCTCGACATGATATCGCGGCAGTTTCGCCTCGGATTAGCTGAGTGTTTGGCACAAGTTACTCGTCCAATCAGAGTGTAGTGAAGCAAAGGCAATGAAATTCCAGACTACAATGGAGATTCAAGCCAACTGGGAGCTGGTCATTATGTTGGTTCCATACAATCCAGTTGGCTTGTTAGTTCATTTGGTAGAGCACTGAATCGGTATAGCAGAGGTCATGGGTTCAAATCCCGTACGGGCCAGAATTTTTTTCAGGCCTTATTTTTCACTACTGCTCAAGTAGTGCTTACTACTGCGAAGATCGCTTTCATATTCACGTCTTTATCCGCAGTTCACAGATATGATTTTCATACATTCACAGTTAATGGAGATTTATTTTAACATGTTAGCGGTATCTTTCAGCCCGTCCACTGTTAAGCAGCCAAAGCCCAACGATACAAAACCTGACCCAAAATGCATCAAAGCTAGACTTCGTGCTTGACTGCTCCGTCAATGCATTCCCTAAAGCTGACGTCGTGTGGCAGAAAATGGATGGACAGCTGCCAGACGGCAGGGCCAAACAGGAAACCAGTGGAACTTTGGTGATACACCAAGCTTCTGCGGAGGACAGTGGAACATATCTATGTTCAGCGGTCAACGAACTTGGAGGAGACCAGTTGAACTTTACCGTCACCGTTTTTGGTATGATGGGGGATATCAAGCTTAATTATTTACCTGCCAGTCCGTACATTACGAATTGCCGTTTTTTCATTTGTTTCATGCAATTTGAAAATACGAAACTAGTACTGAAACGCCTAAGGACGCCATATATGGTGCACTAAATGAAGAGATATCCTGAAGATTTAATGGATTTTCATTTGAAATAGAAAGTAGTTGATCATCAGAAATCGTTCACAAAGTTAATAATGTATCCATATAAAAACATTTTCATATGTGAATGGACTGATCTTCCCGAAGGAATATGTTTTCTTTAAAGGAAATCGTTCCTACTTCCTTTTGACTTCGCGTAGCCTTGAAGATGCTGGTAATATCCTTATTGGCTCTTAAAAGCTTGGGTTGGAATACATTTCCTTACACACAGCAACGCGCTTTCATATCCTCTTTTTTAAGGGAAGATAAATCCTGTCATTTATAGCAAATAAACAGTCGTTTCCTCCTCTTTGAAATGTGGGATTTTCAAATTCATTTTTTTTTTGTTTCCTCCGTTTTTGTTTTCAGAACCACCTATGATATACGGGAGACGAAAGTTCCACGCCAATGTGGACGAAAAAGCCAAGTTGATTTGTGTGTCGCGCGGAAATCCTGGTCCGTCTTTCTCATGGACTTGGAGGGACAGGAAAAACAAAACTTTCAGTATTACCCAGGGCGAGGAAATCAATGGATACAGCATGACAACGACAAGCGATACTGCAACGAGTCAAAGCATTCTTGAAATAACCACGGTCAAAGAAGAGTCTTGGACAATATACACCTGCGTAGCTGTAAATGCTTTAGGCCGATCTTCGGCTAACATTTCTTTGTCGGGAAAAAGTAAGTCCACGCTTTATTGCGTGTAATACAGAACGATAAAGGTAAAAACAGCTTGTGGACCACAAGACCCATTGATCTGCTCTGTTGTTCCCCTTATCTTCATCTATTTATTCATTCATTCATTTTTGTACAGCTCGTCCAGAAAGTCCAACAATAATCTCCGTGGAAACCACGGATCGAGAAGCTTTGGTCACGTGGACATTTAACGATGATGGTGGCCTGGAACTGAAGGCCTTGATACTCCAGTACAGAAAGAGTTCACAGAAAGATTGGGATGAAATCCAGATTAAACCGCCAAACAAAAACAAATATACCATCATGTACCTCGACCCAGACACAAACTACAACTTCCGTATCTTGGCAACCAATAGCCTAGGCACCAGTACTCCTAGTTCCACCTATTTTGCCAACACCAAGAAAAAAGGTAAGAAGACGCCTTCCAGTAAAAAAAAATCGTCCGATTTCAAATCTTCGTCAACTTTGAAATTGCTGTGACCAACCTGGTCAGTGAAGCATTCACATATTACATTCATTCCTCTATCGCATTCATATATCGCTTTCACATGACGTTACGGCGGCCATTTTGATCACTACAACAGTAGACTGAAGGCTCAACCAGCCCGGGTTCGATTCTAGTAGCTCACGTCACGAGTCGGTTGAGGTTTTCCGGTTTTCCTTCTTCCACCAAAAGAAATACTCCAAATTAAAATTACACCTGGAAAACATTGAGGGAAGAGCCACCTTGGGAATGTACAAAACCCAACCACTTAAAATTCCATTTTCGAATTTAACTTTGCAAGGAGGTCTGTTATATAGACTTTGCTTTTCTGTCAACTCAGTTAACTTTGAATTTGTTTTGATTCATTTATTAAGAATCTTAATTTTTTTTTTCTCCTCCAGAATCCAACAATGAGGCGCAGACCAGTAAAGGCTTCGCGGCACTCACTGAAAATATGACAGCATTAGTGGGTGGGGTCGGGGGGGGTTTCCTGGCCATCATGTTTGGTATCATTGCAATCTTCTGCTTCTTTAAGAAGATGCACAAGAATAACACCCCAGGGGATACGCCATCGAATAGCCGGCCTACGAGCCAACAGGAACCAGCCGAAATGACCGCGGTAAGAACCTCTTAATGCTGTCCGATGGACAGGCAGTTAGCGCAAGGCTCTGGGTCGAGATGTCCTGGTTCGATCCTTAGCCTCCCTCCGATCAGGAGTATAAATGAACTAAAAAAGAGGCCTGACGAAATTCCAGGGGGGAGGGAAGAAGATAACATGCAATGAACCAGCATCCTACCCAGGGGGGAGGGGAAGTTCTCCATACCATTTCATATTACGAGTAGAGACTCAACTTCACCTTGTTTTCTTGTTTATCCTTCCATCTGTGTTCAACCCGAATAGTAGGCATCCAAGGGTTCACTCTTAAATGCTTTTCTACGTCTTTTTCTTTAGTTATTAAGCCATAACATTCCAAATATACCCCTACCTCAACCAAATGTGGAGCAAGGAGCTTCGGTGGCTCAGTTATCAAACAACCCCTGGGAATTCCCGCGGAACAGAGTTGACTTGCAGTTGGTGCTGGGATCGGGTGCATTTGGCGTGGTTATGAAAGCACAGGCACAGGGCATCAAAGGATGTGTGGGAAAAATGCACGTTGCAGTGAAAATTGTAAAAGGCAAGTAGAAGAGTGGAAAATATGTGTCTGCAAATAATTAACACAGGGAGCTCTTCCCTTACGTCAAAAGTTAGCAAGAAATCAGTATCAGCGGTAGGTGAAGATAAGAAAAGAAAAGGCCTGAACGAACGCAAGCGATCGTCCTCGATCGTCCAAGTGATGATGCAGACGACGTCTAAACACAGACTGCTTAAAACCGTTAAATTTCGATGGGTTACGCCAAGATCTGAGAAGTTTGCAGCCTTAATGAGACATCTCCCTCCTTCTTTATCTACTAAAAAGTTCATTCGTGCAAGTTTAGAAAAAGAAGTGCGAAGTTTAGAATATTGAAGATTCATTCTTTAACTTTATTCTCTCTTGGTAAACCCAACAGACTCACCTAACTTACTGCATTTATTTTTTTATAGAAAGTGACAGTGAGACGGCTAGAAGAGATCTGCTTGCGGAGCTGGAACTCCTCAAGCTCATTGAGCCACACCCAAATGTTATTGGCTTACTAGGATGTTGCACAAGACAAGGTTAGTTTGACATAAAAACCTCCTGCTAACTCCATCAGCTTCCCTTCCACCTTATCAAATCTCTTGAGCTACTTCACACCCTGTTTCTTCGCATCAAGAGCTTCACTCATATGAACATAGAATGATGCCTCTACTGAATATTGCTTTCTGTTGACCTTACAGAGCCTTTGATGGTTATAGTAGAATTCTGTGCTTATGGCGATCTTCAGAGTTATCTGCGTCACTGCCGTGGTGTAGAAGATAAATATTACCAAGATTTGTACAAAGTTCCCATTGAAAAACTCGGTTCCAGGGATCTTTTGTCGTTTGCCATACAGACTGCAAGAGGCATGGCACATCTGGCTGCCATGAAGGTATTATCATCTCTCCTATCAGTTTCGTGAGTTAATGTGAAATAGCTTGCAGCTGATTTCTGCGCTTGAAGATCAAGAGTGAGTCATGTTCACATTCATATATTCAATTTGTCCGAGGAAGGGGGTTAAGAGTAAAGTTGACCAGAAATGTTACTACCTAGAATTCTACTGACTGTACCGATCGCTTTCGTAGGTTGTTCACAGAGATCTTGCGGCCAGAAACGTTCTTATTGACGAACACAAAGTTTGTAAAGTGGCCGACTTTGGCTTCGCTAGGGACATTTACGTAGAAAATCACTACACAAGAAAAACGCAAGTGAGTAATATATAGTAAGCATTGTGATCTAATTTTGAACTCATTGGCTTGCTGATGAATCCGTTAATAAATGAGGAAAAGCTTTCTTTTGATCAGCCCTGGTAAGAGACATTGTGGCTTAGTATCTAGAGCGCCAAGGCCAGCTTCCGAGAGGTCTGAGTTTGGGGATGTCGAGTCCTAGCAAGGGCTCTGGAAAAAAGTATCTTAAAATCTTTCACCGTGCAAGAGGTTAAAAAAGACATGAATGAGTACCTAGGGAAACTGAGAACTGGCTGGACTGTAACCTGCGTTAAATCAGATAACAAATCGTTATAAAAATGCACATGAAGTCTTATATGCGGACTTAAATTGAGAATTGATGCAAATTCCGAACATTTTTAGCAGAAGGGTATTTGCCTGAGAACTCACAACGCGGTATGGGCGCTTTCTTCCTACCAGCTGTTGTTCCTTCGATTTTATTTTTTTGTTTTTTTCATCAAACGAACTCTCTAGAGTAGTCAAAGCCTATGTTATTTACTTATTTTTTAATTTATTTTTATAGGGAGGACGATTTCCAATTAAATGGATGGCCATAGAGTCATTATTAGATGGTGTATCCACAACAAAAAGTGACGTGTGAGTAAATTTTACGAATGTGATAACTTGACTGTCATTGAAGGCAGCCTCTTTGTTGCAATTTTCAAGAGTCGCACATCAAGGTTTCTTTTGATCAACTGTCCAAAGTATTTCCAATTAGACCGACTACTTTAAACTTGGCAGAAGCGATTGACTTTTCGCTTAAGAAAATTTTTAAAAATCATCACAGCTGTTTTAGACTGAATCTTGAGGTTGCCAACCTCAAATCGTCGGATTTCACAGTCAGATGTGGTAGGCCATAGACAAGCGCCCTGCATGCTGCAAGGTACAGTTTTGTTCTCTGTCATGATACGTGGACCTTTCCGTGCTCTGTTCATACCTCGAAAGCGTTGTGTTATCGTACATCATGACATCGATGATGGAGAATTTTGAGCTAGGTCGTGGGACAAATGTTGGCCATTATTCGGCGACCGTTGTTGAGCTAAGATTTACTGTCCTCTCAACTTCTCTCCAAATCGAAACCGTCTGTTTACTTTTGTCTCACCCAGGTGGTCCTTTGGCGTCGTGCTCTGGGAAATCGTCACGTTAGGTAAGATTTCGCAGGCTTCTACTTTCATCTTGACGGCATAAGGTGGAACTTTATCACCTGAAATTCAATCCAACAGCTCTAGCTAGCCACTGATAGAAATTGAAGTATTGAATTATTCCTTCAACAGGTGCATCACCATATCCAGGCATGAACTCACAGGAAGTGATCAACTTTCTTCAAGATTCATATAGGATGGATAGGCCTAAGCACTGCTCTGAAGATTTGTAAGTGCCACCTTGTTCCCGACAAAGTCCTTAACCGGGGCTACACACATTTCCTTCTATTCTTTTGCGCTAGAATCGTCGGGTTGAAACGTTTGCTTCTCAATGGGCGACCGACTTGTATAGTTTGGAAGAGAGAGAGAATTCCAATTACTGTTCCGCGAATAGTTTAGAAATATCGCATCAACCTCTCAACCAATCACATGAAAAGCTGAAAAAGCAGAGACCTTCGCAACTTACACACCTGCGGTTTCCCGCCGCCCACGGTTTCCCGTGCTTCGGGCAGTTCGCTTGTTTTTATCAATTAATTTCTCATTCTTTTTACATGAAGTATTTATCTTAGTTCCACTTGGATGCTGTGATTACTCTCATGACAGTCAATCGAAATGCACTCCAATCAGACAACACGGGGAAATAATGCCTAAACCCAAATTGCATTCATCCACGTAATCTTTCAGCCAGGAAATTGCTATTTTAAACAGAAATTTCAATGTCAAGGGGTATACGCGACAGAAAATATTGGATAACTTTCGTGAAGACTACCTTTCTTTTTTTCTTTTTTCAATTTCGCTCCCCAAACCTTACATTTGTCGATAATCCCTCTAGATACATCCTTATGATGGATTGCTGGCAAGTGGCCCCTCAGCGACGGCCAACATTCGTAGAGCTGTCCCAGCACCTTAGTAAAATGTTCAGCGATGAAAAGGTAGGTTTAATTCATAAAATTTCCTCTTGCCAGTATTGATGTTATGTTATCATAAACTATCTTGATTAGTCAAAAATCTGTCCTAAACTGTGATCATTAAATCGCGCCGTAAGGGTAATAACCTGCGTGTGATGTTGTGAGAAAACCATGAAGGCCTTAAACTCGCATTGGACGAGTGGGCAACATCTTAAGTCGGTTCCCACGCTGGTAAATCAGTGTAAAGACCTGTATACTGTTCATTGTTATATTGCTCGGTCAAAATTTTGGTGGCATTGAAGCCTCCAATTTTTGTCTTTTTGTCTTTTCTCGAATCGATTTTGCATTTGCTTTCTTCTTTGCCTAAACCAAATTTACGACTTTTGTCCTTATCATTTCCTAGGAATACGTAAACATGGCTATATACGAAGACAATTTGTACGTCAATTTTGACGGCTCCTCCCTCACAGTGTAGCTACCTCAAGTCCACTGACACCTGCACGTACATAATTATTGATTGATTCCTGTCAATCATCTTTTCACTTGTCGTAGGAGTATATCGACATGCGCATGTACGAGGACCACTTGTACATCAATTTCGACAAGGCTTCTGGAACATTGACATCCAAATCGGGAAGTACACAGAACCCGAGTGAATCACCTTTGTGACGGAAGGAAATAACCAAATGTATTACTTTCTTCACCTGTAAACGAACACTTCAGAAAATCTTTACTACAACAAAAGATCATCGGAGGAAAGGCGTGTTTTTGAAAGTTACAGGCGGGCATGATGAATGCTTTCTGCCATTCTACGGGGCTTGCCGACACCAGGAGAGGCAACGACGCATGCACAATTTTAAATAATAATTTTGTCTTAAACGTTCATCTCGTCGACATTCAGGAACTTAGGAAATTAGGCACAGCCACAGCGCAGCCTAACTAACATCTATACTATTTCAAAACAATTCGCTTGTCAAACAACAAGTGGAAGTCACTGCGACATATTCTTGTGATTCAAATTTTTCTTAGTCTAAAAATTTTAGACCAGCTTGGTTTGCATTTTCTTCGGTTTCATTTTGGTTATGAATACGCGGGATGATAAACTCAAATTTAAAAAGTCTTTCACGAAAAAAATTTAAATCACAGGAGAGCCTTCATTAGTCTTAAGGTAGTTTCTGTAAGGGGTATAAACAAAATTCACCTTGTCGTTTCCGGAGTTTCGGATAGCGTGCCCAAGTTAATATCACACACTATTACATAGATTCAGTCACTGATTTTGTCAAAGTTAAACTTGCTTTAAATCAAATATTTGTAACAAAGCTTTTGGGAATACGTAAATATGGAAGATATACAAAGCAAAGGAATAGTTGTGTTTATTTAAGACAGAAGCTAAATAGTTATCAGGGGCAGTTAATTAACAAGTACGGCGCCTCCGAAAAGTAGTAAAAGCGGAAGTGTATGCTGCAAGTCAGTTGTGGAGATGTTTACCTTGAGCGTATTTGATCCATGAGGGATCTATAAACTAGAGTAACGTTGTTCACTGTCGCGTTTTAGCGACGAGACATCAAGTTTGTCTCATTTGACAGCAACAAATGTTCACAAGGAAAACAAATTTAATTGTAAGAATACTCGACGAACAATGGAGGTTCATTCAAAATTTGATCACCACTGACTGCAAATTTAGGAGGACATTTGAAATTTAGGGTTTTCATTGGTCAGTTTTGTTGAGAAAAACGTTTTATGAAGATTCAGCTCAATAAAGTCATTGCATCATTTATGATATACTATTGTCAACGTTCAACGCTTAAATTCCCAACCTCGTTCCCAGGCTATCTGTTGCTCGGTTGACCAATTGCCAAGCATAGGTACGGGAAAGCTCGACCGTGGTCTTTGTTTTTTCTTTCTTTCTTTCTTTCTCTCTCTCTCTCTCTCTCTTTCTTTTTCCTACTCCACAGAGTGCGTAAAGAAGAATGACCCTATGTACCAGGTTTCGGACCAGTAAATAAAAATACGGCAAGGCATAAGCAATGTTGAGTAAAATATAAAAAAGTCAGCGATATACTTCGACGTAAGCAAGAGTTTATGAACAGTTGTCACGTCAATCACGAACCCTGGAAGGTCCGTGAAAGCTTGTAGTAGCCTCCCAGCGTGTACGTTTTTCGCGCGCGCAAGCGTTTTGTGAAATGGTTAGTTGCTGCCTTGGATTTTGGAAGCAAGGGTAAGGTGGGTAGAGCATGACATTGGCAGACAAAGGACATTTGTGATGACAATCGGCTTAGATTGTATTTGGCGAGATACTAATAAGATAAATTTATCTTGACTTTAACATTCAATCTTTGAGCTAGCAATTTAACTCGTGCGTGATGAAAAAGACTTAAAATTAGCTTTGAGGTGGGGGAAGGGGGGCTCTAAATATCAGCTTTTGGAACAAATTTTCTTCATACACCCCAGGCAAAATTTCTGTCTAAAAGAATTTACGAAAACGGGAAAGTTGTACTTTGAAAAGTCCATGACAACGACTCTATGTCTTGTGCACACGCACTGTCTGACAACTGCGATAATGGCGGCCACAGCAGCAATTCTTCCTGTCATCCAATTGTCATTTAAGTTCCGTATGTGGTCAAGAATTCTTACTGGATAATCCTTTTTCAAGCGAAGGCCTAGATGTTAGTAATTTGGATCGCCACATCTCTGCTGCTCCAAAAGCGCTTCTCATGTGCGACGAATCAGAGCGAGGCAACATGGCTTTGACAATGCCAGCCTTTACTTGATTGCGATAGCTGTTTACAACCACTGGTGCCGAGGCCACTCTTTTCATGTCTTGCTGGTGAAGACGTCGGAAAGAACCCATGCTTTGAGTTGTGCGAGGTCTACGTTTTCCTAAAGGAAAAACAGTACGTTTTTCAGATAATTGTACAATAATTTTTGGCTATGGAGTAAAACCCCGATACAACAAAGTACAGGAAGCCTCGAAACTGTATCTTGTTTCACATAGTTCGCTACAGAGGAGCACCAATGCTCCTCTATGCAAACGGTCTGATCAGGAGAACTAACATTAAAACAAACCCAAACAATAACAGAAACAGTGACAAGTGTGCACAGCATTTCTTTAGGAGATATACTTGGATCAGAAAAATGGTGTCGTGGTGCTAGTGCCAAAACAATAGTTTGAAGGCGAAACGCACTATTTCCTTACAGACTGGCTCGTTTAATTCATCATAAATTGAACGTCTGAGACGCATCTGGAGCTGTGAAATGAAACCAAGCATAAGATTGCCTTCTACAGGTACTTTCCCCAAATTAATATGCCAGTATCTAGAACTAGCGTTGTATCCAATGACTTAAATTACGGAAAGGAATTAGGAAACAATTTTAGTGGCGTTTCCTGGCCTACATGTCGGTTTTACCATGGCCTCTTTGATTTGTAAATATAATGAAAACCTCCAGCTCTCATTGAAAGGTTGACTAAAATACAAACGAACTGAGAAATGCATCCTATTGGGAGCTCAGACTTACGTTCTTCAGGTGGTAATCTCTGTGGTACCGGGGGCCCTCCGTGAATCTCCAAACTTTTGTAGAGGAAAATGAAAGTAAAAGTAATGGTGAGTTTTCAAATAGAGGTGACAGCTTAAAAAAAAAAGACTGCGGCGAAAAAGGTGCGCTGCAAAGTTCCAGTCCTTCTCGTCCATCTAAGCAATTTCCGTGAGCGTTCACGATGACTGTCGCTATCAATCCGTGGGTAAAAAAGACCGACACGTTATTGTTTATTTCAGCAAAGGTTTCTCATATATTCAAACTTTCCGTCGTAAAACTTCGCGACTTTGCGTCTTGCATCTTTGATAGTTTTTCAGTAACATGTCGCTCTCAAACCTGGCAGCCTAACTGATTAAATGCTGCTCTTTCCAGTGGTGTCAAACTTTCGCTACCTGTATCATGTCAAAAACTACCAAAGAAAACTTGGAGGGGACTATTTGAACTGAGCATGGTATTCTTAACAAAAGAAAAACAACCTTATTTGGTTACTTCTTGAAGAACTAAGAACTCAGACCTAACTCTTGGTATCAAAAGCAGCATGGTACGTAATGGCATACCTGGCCGAAGGCAGTCCAACCATCTTGGTCTGCCTCCACTCGTCCATAAACTCCATAGATACCTTTCCGTTACCAAGGTTATCCACCAGCGACTCCAGCAGACCTGGAGTATTACGACACGCCTGCAGCATCAGACGGGAAGCCGTGCGGTCGAACGACAGGTACCCTAGGGCAACCGCCGCACTGCTGCGGACTTCTTCGTTTGGTGAGGAAAGATTGGTGAGGAGTGCCTCCACTGAACCTGAAGAGTACAAGGAAAAAAACAAAGAAAATGGTGTGAAACAGAGAATGCAATGCGATAATATTTTGGTTTATACAATGTAATTTTTAATCGTCATATACAAATTTTTGAAAAGTTCACATTTGATTTTTCATAATAAAATGGTTCAAAACGGTTTCCTTGTGGTATAAACTTGGGTAACTGTTCAGTTAACTTCATAAATCATATTGACCATGATTTTCCAACCAAAAATAAACTAACAATACGATTCAAAAAACTTTTTTAACATTTTGACAAGCAGTATTTTTTTTTTAACTCAATGGTACCTCACCCGAGTTTCATTCAAACAAGGCCTACACTTATTCCAAAATTAACTTCACAATATATATTACACAATATTGTTGCAAATCTGCTACAGAAAGATGACAATATGGGGGAGACTTATCTTACCGTTGTACTGTGTATCAGTATTAACCCTTCATACCCTAATATTGGAATTCAAATTCTCCATACTGTTCTCTTTACATTTCCTATGATGCTGACAAGGAGAATTTGTTTAACAATCAGGAGCTTCTTAAATTGGTGATCATTTCCTTTATTTTCATGACCTTTACATTGGATTTAAGGGTGACACTATAAGGATAAATTAGAACCCAGTCACTCTCAATGATAAAAGGGTAAACCTACCGGCTGTGATAAGTGCCGCAGGAACACCAGCACGAGTGTGACCTAGGCTGGCTGTCAAACTGGCGGCAAGTATCTGTGTACTCTGTTGATCAGAACTGAGCAGGTGCACTAGTAATTCCACACCTCGTGCTGTCAGGTTCACCTGATCACTGTCAATCACACGTGCCAGGACTATGATCTGAAAAGCCGCGTGGGCCTGGTAAAGTTCGTTCCCAGACCCCAAGAATTCCTCAAAAGCCGTCAGCGAGATTCCCCCGGCGTTTTTAATGGCGTACTGCTGTGAAGTGTTGTTGTACGCGAAAGTTGCGAGCGCCATGCCAGCCTTGAGGCGAACTGTTTCTTCTTTGTTAGAGAGATGGTGAAGGAGCTCAACGACGCGAAACTTCGTCTGTTCTGCCAGAAGCTTCTGGGTTTGCAGATTATTCAGAACGACTTTTCCCAACGTTATAGCCACCTCAACCTGTGAACGAAATGAGGGTATAAATGTCTCAGTCTGCTAATAATCTAAGTATACTGAGGCTAGGTTGAAAATACGCGCTGGTCCACCATTCTTAAGAATTGTAATCAAACGCATCTTTTTTCCTTATTCTAACATCTGAAAACCTCAATAAGCTAATTCTAGAAACAGCTTAGCATCCACCGATCCTAACACTCGTGTCCCTAAATCCAAATCAATTAACCAAAAATTGCTAAAAGATTTACTTACCAACCAATCACAGTTGAGCAATAAACCTACAGGGTAAACGCAGACACGTTTCCTTGTTTATCGAGCCTTTTTTCCGCTTTAATATATCAAATCTCTCTGAACGACTATAAAAATATCAACTGCGTGTCGACCATTGCATAGGTTTAAAAGACCCTTCTAAAAGACTGGTCTGGAAAACTTGCGCCATTTTCTCGACAAATCGCACTCGGGACAAAAACCAATCGCGACTTGGTGTTTTCCCGCGCTTCAGGCAGCCCGCCTTTTTCCCTTTCATTTCTCATTGGTTGCAGGTGACATTCTCATTTTCTAATTGGCTATTGTATCTACCAGTTTTGCCTATACGATTAACACCCTCATCAACAACTTCCCAGGACTACTCTCGCCCAAAGGATCAGACTACAAGATCAAAACACTATTGAAATGCGCTAAAAACCTACCTGAATGAGCGCCTTTTTTGAGGTACGCAGGAGATGCACAAGAGTAACAAGAGCTTCAGCGTTTGTAATTTCAAGCTGAGTGGATTTGTTAGATTGATGAGCCACGCCAACACACAGGATACCCAGCACGCGGATCACCATCAACAGAACCTACAAAAGAACCACATTTGCCTTAGAGACTAAAACATTTCGGAGCCATTACTTTGTTAGTTAAGTTAACATTGCTTTTCTTTGTATCTTGTCTTAATTTTTTACAACGGTAATCGACGGGTTGAAGAAAATCGAAAAAGTTGACCAGACGTCAGCTGTTTTATCACCACATTTCAGGAGTAATTAAAAAATAGAGTTATGTTAACTCTTTTTTTCAACTAGTGGTTGCCGCAATTGCGGTGGATTGCACAGAACTGGCTATCATTCGGATGCAAAGAGCTAACTCAGGTTTTTCCCCTTCCCATGCTTTTTACAAATATTTCACGTTGTCTTTGACAACATCAGGAAGACGTGTAACTTAAACTAACCTTTTCAGAAGTCTTCTGAGACCTCAAGAGCCTCACAAGAGGTTGTATTCCTCCTCCAGTCACAATCTTGTTCTGATTTTCAATGTTCTCTGTGGTTAATGCAATAATGGCCATGCCAGCAATAAACTGTAGAGTCTCAGACTTCAGCATGAGCATATCAACTAGAATGTTAATACCAATCATGCTGGCAATACGCTGCTGCTGATGCCGAGTGACGCCTGCTAAAGCCCACAGAGCACTGGCACCTGATTGTAAAAGAATAAACAGTAAATGAATGAACTCTCATGGACCTGCACAGTCTGACTACAGCAAGACATTTAAGATATGGGGACACAATGATCTAAATTATGGACATGGCACATATATGTTGCCTCATTTGAGCAATTAATCACAATTCTTTATCGGTTTACCAGCTACTAAACCACGCAGGATGTTGGGAAGTAACTCTCATTTATTCTCAAAATGAAATGATCCTTTTTAAGTACAACTCTTCTGAACACCCAATGCATCTCTGCTTCCACTATGAACAGTAGTAGTTTTATTTGATGTAGTAGTTGTGAAATATTCTAGTTAGCAGTGCACAAGATGTGGTGAAGAACTTTGCTAACACAGTATAATTTAAAATTTGCCATTCATTAAGAGAAAGGTGATTAACATCACCAAATTAGTAAAATTACAGTACTTGTTAAAAACAAGAATTTAATAAATGACAATGGAGCCCCCTGAAACAACAGGGCTAATAATCATCAACATTTTCAGCCTTTTCCAAACTATAGGAACCCTTCTATTATAAGTTACAAATATAATGTGCATACCTTGTTCTTTGACCTCAATGGCCCACATTTTCAAGAGTCTAATGAGAGGTCTCTGGGCATCTGCTGCATCAATCTCTTTTTGTGCCTCTGGATTACTGGTAGCAAGTGATTCTAAGGCACTTGCAGCCTTCACTTGGCAAAGTGTCTTGGTACTCTTTGCTAAAGACACTAGTGGCTTAACAGCTCCTTTGGCTACGACCAGATCTTGGTTTTCCCGATGGTCCTTAGTCAGAGCACTCAGGCATGCTGCAGTGTTTGCTTGAAGGTTCTTTGACTTTGCACCTGAAGGGTGATAACACTGAATATCAATGGCCACACTCCATATTGAGTTCCCTGTGGCTCACTGGTAAAGTGTTGCTGTGCAAAATCTACAGGTCAGTGATTTGAGTCTTATTAAGGGACTTAAATATTTTCATCATGTCAATGTTTTTACAAAATGAAAAACATCTCTCTTTAACCCTTTCACTCCCAAGATCTCATTAGTAATTCTCCTTACTGTCTGCCATACAATTCTTATGATGTTAGTTTGGAGTATTTGGTAATGGATCAACTAATAATCCCCTTTTTGAAATTTTCCAATAAAACTGGCTCTTGAATGTACTTGTTACAGCAGGCCAGTAACAAAACAGATCAGCAACTTTGCCATTTCCCAAAAAAAATTGGTAACTACCACACTGCACAAGATTTTGGAAACTGACAAAATCATTTTGAGAACAGCAATTTCTTATTCAGTCCTGACAGAGCACATGTGATTGCTCCGATTGTATTCTTGTTCAAATACCTGTTTCTGCTGCATGGTAGATATTATCTACCATGCAGCTTCATATCCACACAAACAATTTACCAAGTGACAGTAGATTTTCTTACTTAGAAGTTCTGTTAGGGTGTCCACAGCTCCACTCTGGGCTACAGCTGTCTGGTTGTCATAGCTACCATCACACAAGACCCTGAGTGCATTGACACAATTCACCAACACATGTTCAAGTTTAGAGTCCAGGAGCACAACAAGTGATTGTATTCCACCTGATAAAAATTTTAAAAATGTAAATACATGTATACCACAGCTGAAGTCTGAAAATCATAAAAAAAATACCCCTAAAAGATTAAGAAATAAACAGATCCACTTGAGGGCACAAACTGCTATATTAGATACTAAGTACACCTGTTCCATACCTTATTAACCACTAGGCCAGCATCTAATTTCTCCTCACTATATCTCCCCTGAATCACACAATAAGATCACAAGAATAAAGAAAATGATCATCAACTAAAGTAAGCAGCTCTTGATCCTCAAACAAACTTCTAATCAGGAAATAATTATATAAGGAACAATAGGGAGAATATGCATTATGATGTTAGTGTGTAGAGGGTCAATCTGATTTTTATTTTCTCCCTGAACTTTTAGAGATTATTGTAAATAGTGATATAAATGAAGTGCTCAAAAGAAAATACAAAACAAAGTGATTTGAAGTCATTCTAATCTGATATTATTTTTACTTGTAAATTAAACATGAAGGACTGTGACTAAAACAAACAAATGTAATGTCTTGAAACCTTGTGATGAAACATAGTTGGTTATTTTCCATGGGAAGCAATAAGCAAGCTTATTTCAGCCTACCCACTATGATTGTACAATGTAGTTCAATTACACCCTAATATCAATATGCTTATTCTTCATACTGTCCTCTATAGCTTTCCTAAGGTGCTGGCAAGGAGAATTTGTTTAACAATCAAGAGCTTCAGATCTTAAGTTAGTGATCATTTAATTTTTTCTCATTACCTTTATGCGTGATTCAGGGGTGACATTGTAAGAAGAAATTAGATGCTGGTCACTCTTGGGATTCAAAGGGTTATCAACCCTGACAGGATACAAAATTCCCTCCACAGACATATACAGAGATAATACAACTTCTCTCTGTAAAGGAAACATGTCACCTACATGTACATGTACAGTGTATCACTACCCATAGAGATGTGCTCTGGTTTAAACAAAAAATTAGAAAGTTGATGAAATTCAACATGATTCAACTGTAACTATTCAGGATTGTGTACCCTCATCATATTTGTACCTTCCTCCGAGATCTTTCCTTGGTTGACATCAAGGCAAGCTAAGTCTCCAAGGATGACAGCAGCACGAGAGTGGATCATGGGAACAGGTGATGCCAAAAGACTGACGACAACAGGAATTGCATTGGCTTTAGACACTTCTACCCTGACCTCATTGTGACTTCCAATGTTGCACAAAACAGACCCAGCAAGAGATTGTAGCTCCACATTATCAAGTCGAAGAAGATCAACAAGGGCTGGAACACCTTCTGCCATCAGGATGAATTTCCAGTTGTTTTCTGCTGCAAGAGACAGGACCTCCAGGCATTTAACGGCACTATGCTTCCTCTTGATGTCATCAGACTTCAACATACCAACAAGGAGGTCCCACACAGGGATGTCATCATTGTTCCAACTGATAAAATATTTCAGTGTGTTGGTGTGAAAGTGAAGAGCAGCAAGATGAACAGCTCCATTTCCTTCCTTGTCTATAGAGGTATACTGTGCTCCCTGCTCAATCAGGCATTTCACAGCATCTAATGCCCCACTGGATGCAGCTAAAAGAATTGGAGTGGACTCTAAGTCATCGTTGGACTTGAGTTCTAGTAGTTTGGGTTCATGGCGAATTAGATGCAGAAGGCAGTCAACATGATTGAAAAAGGCAGCATAGTGAACAGACACCCATCCCTGGCTGTCAAACATCATCACGTCAGCTTTGTATGTCACTAGGCATACAAGGCTGTCTAAAGCGCCGCATCTGGCTGCCAGATGCAGCGGACTTACACCTTGTGAAGAAATGTTATTGTAGCGACGCACATTTACATCAAAACCCATTACTACCAGCATGGTAATAATCTGTGGTCTGTTGAACATGGCTGCATGATGAATGAGGGACAGACCAGAAGAGTCTTGAGTTGTCAGACGTGATGGTGGCAATCTACGAGTCATGGTATGAAATATCGAGACCAGCCCTCTATGAGCACTTGCTTGCAACCCAGCAGGGATCTGTTTGAGTTTCACAGTTCTTTGATAGCCATATCTTTTTTTGAATTGCTCATGAATCTGGAGCTCATGCACAGGAAGCCTTTTAGGTTTCAATTTTACAATTTCATCATAATGTGCATGTATCCACAATGGATGCTTTGGTGATACAGGGTAAAAGGTCTCCAGGTGAATGTTCAGCACAAAATAACTTTTACCATCAATTTCAATTGCTGCCATTGGGTAGCTTTCCAACATGACTGTGTCTGAGCTCATTATTTTGTTATAAGCATCAGATGCAACATATTCCAGATTTTCTTGCTCTGCAACAATTGCAGCAGAGATTTTCTGAGCAGGTGGGGTTTCACGGACAAAGGAAATTCCACCATGCAAATGAAAGTATTTCTCTGAATGATCAAAGTGTTTACACTTGAATTCAGGTCTCAAGATCAGAGGTGGAAATTCACGCTCAGTTTTGCACTCTTCAAAAGTAAATGGTGGAAGAAGTTTGTTAACATCTGGAACCTTGCAACGTTTTTTGATTGCAATCAAAAATGGCACCATGAAACTAATAAATTTAAGCAGACATAGCTGTCGTTTTATGTCTGGTTTGAGAAGCAGGGTGTTCCTGATGAACTCTTGATGAACTCCAAGCCTTCTCTGCAGCTTTTCGTAACTTTGAAGATCAATTTTATCTGACTTAACAATGCTTGAAATGTGATAATTGGCATCTGTCAAAAATATGTTTTGATGTTGAGTGACAGTGTTTTGAAATAAGGTCAGTTTGAGCGCTAATTCATCCACATGCTTCATAAAATGTTTCTTCTCTTCAGTAGCATCTAGGTCATCTTTGTTTTCATCAGGGATTGAATTGTATGCTTCAGTCAGTTCAGGATCTATAGCCAAATCTAAAATACCAGCCTCTGTCCACACTAGTTGCAAGCTTCTTCGTGTTTCTGGCTCTCCAGTTGTTGTATTTAGATTCACAGCCTGCCTCCATCGCTCAGCAAATTTAGTTCTTTTATCTTTTGGGAAGTATGCCCCGTGCCAAAGACTCTTCATCATATAATCTACGTCTGTCAATATCTGGCCGATTCGCGTGTCATAGTAAGCTGGTGGAATTTGACATGATGTGCTGCAATCGTAATTCGCTTCCAAAGTAATCGACGGCGTTTGATTCAAAATGTAAATTCCCGTGACCAGTTCACGTACGATCTGATGCATTTCTCGCAATTCCAACGGTTCGATGCCCTCTTCTTCAGGAATAAGAATCAAACAGTTGTTGAAATCACTCGGGATTTGAATCCCGGCGATCAGTCCGCGTGGCGGTTCAACAGAAATCCTCGTGTCTTCAGTCGAAAGCAGCCAGTCGCTTGAAGTATAAGCAAGCGTCTCTTGCAACTCGTAACGTTCTATTTTGTCGAAATATGTCGCTGCAGCTCTCGCAGCTGTCATCGACGCCATCACATCAGAGGAACTAGAAGTCCTTCGCCGACCGGTTGTAACAGTGGAACTCACAGAGGTCATCGCCGAGGTGAATTAGGTAACGTAAGCCTAAATCAACAACTTGTTAGTAGGAAAAAGCTTCTTAAAGTCTTACAAGTCAATATGAATTGGATCAAGAACCATCCTTTCGTGTCCGAACCATCACTCGATTATAGAAAACCATTTTCAATTCGGAAATAGATGATGCGGAGTCGAATATTTTTATTCTCTGTCCAAAATGTTTCAAGTATTGTTGCGTTGGTGTAAATCCCTTAACAACGCACCCAAACAGACGCTAATTGGAATGATGTGTCGCTCATTGTTGTCGTACATTCACCTGGTTGATGCTTAGTTCTGCTTAGTATTTTTCATAAACTGCCTCCGACTCATTTACATTTTTCCGTGGCAACTCAAAATGCGGACAGTTTAGGCCTGGGAACAAAGTCAAATTTGGCGGGAAGAGTATACGTACTCAGGAACCTTATTTTTTTGGTTATTTTTTTGAATTGAATTGAATTGAATTGAATCGAATTGAATTGAATCTTTATTAAGTCATAAGATAAATAATCACATATCCTATGTTACAACATTAAAAGAAGGCATATATATAAATTACAGAGAAAATCAAGATAAAAATTATAAGACTAGATTATGTTTAAAAATTAAGCGATTAACAAACGTGTTTTTGAACCTATCAGTGTTTATTTTAGGATGGTGACTTGTCTCTTTCCTCAGATTGTACTTGGTTAATTTCTTTTTTGGCATTATAGCTCTTAAAGGGTGTATTGTATTATTAAAAACATTCTTGAAGATACGCGTGTCCTGTTGAACTAACAATTCATAAACATTAATGTGATCGGATGTATACTTGCGCTTATAACATCGATCTAAGAAACATTGGATTGTTGTTAATTCGGAATTTACAGCGCCAAATACGGACAGCCCGTATAATATATTTGGTAGAACCAGATTTAGAAACAGATGGTCTATTTCGGCCTGATTGTACCCTTCTTTCCTTAAAGATCTTAAAATGAACAGGCACTTGTTTGCTTTAATTAGTTTTTCCCGAATATGTGTTATGAACCTACTGTCTTCCTGAAATGTTACCCCTAAAATAGTAAGCTCTTTTGTCTGTGGTATTCCAGACACCATCGGAAACTCTATTGTACAACCTTTCTTGCGGAAAATGATTTCCTTGCACTTAGATGGATTGCTACACATACCATTACTTCTAGACCACTGGGAAAACTGATTAATCAGTGCGATAGAATTGTCATTATCACCTATCACAGGCGAGATAATGGTTGTATCATCTGCATATTTTACCAGCACGCTCTTATTGTCCAAGTGTATCTCTAAATCACTGAGAAAGACATTGAACAAGTGCGGCCCGCTGACACTTCCTTGGGTGGTACCTTTGTTGACACTTTTCCATTTTCCAATAAACCCATTTCTAATGACTCTCTGCTGCCTGTCTTCCAAAAAGCTTAGATACCAGTTAACTATAAAAGGATTTAGGGGGAGTTGCTTCAATTTGTGTGAGAGGAGATCGTGTTTCACACTATCAAAAGCCTTGCTGAAATCCATAGCGAATAGGCGTACCGCTTTGCACTCTGGGATATCAAGATATTGATTGACAGTATGTTGGATAGTCAGTAGAGCATTGGTACAGCTCCCTCCCTCTATGTATGCAAACTGTGAGATCCCAGAATGTTCATCGAAGGTCTCCCTTGCGTGTGTTCCTAAGACAGCTTTCTCAAAGCACCTTGCGATGACAGGTGTCACATTTATTCCGCGGAAGTCTGATATTCCCTTAGGTATATCAACCTTCGGCAAGGGGTACAGGTCTGACTTTTTCCAAGAGACAGGCCAGGCGTGTGTTCTAAGAGACAGATTCCAAATCCAGGTGATCACTGGAACGAATAGCTCGGCGTGGTCTTTCCATATAGTATACGGGATGCCATCTGGTCCGGTTGCTGTTTTCTTTATACGCATAAGAGAATTCAGGACTTGTCGCTCTGAGATTTCTGGGACTTCCTGATCTTCACTAATCTCCAGAGGTGTTGGCTTTCTGTAGGCGTGGTCAGTACATAGGTCACCAAAGTAGTCATTTAACGCGTTGAGTTCGTAGTGGCCAAGAGATAGAGAAATCACCGGCTTGCGGCGCTGAGATGTTTTATCCACTTTTTTCCACCAATCCCGAGTTCCAATAGAGGCGATAAAGTCCCTTCTGTTTCTGAAAATGACTTCAGAGATCCTTTTATTCATAACTTTAAGACGGTCTAGATTACTGAGTGATATGCGTGATTTGGCTCGTATCATCGATCGAACGAGCGGAGTCATCCAGCCCGGGTCTCTTGAAGACATGCGCACTGTTTTCAGAGGCATGCAGCTATCCAGGTGCCCTAGGATGGTATTTTCGAGCCTACCAACCACTTCATCGACATCAGTTTCCTGTATCATATCATCCCAGTTTTCCTTCGCCAACGCGATATACAGATCACGCTTTCTATGAGCCCTTTGGTCACGCACGTATACTTTACGGCGGATAGGTGGAAGCTTTATACCGGGTGGTAAAATAACTCCCATGTGATCCGTCTTGGAGAGCATGTGAAAGGGATAGCACTTTGAAAAGAGATCCGTGCGGTTCGTGAAACAGTTGTCCAAACAAGAATTCCCTCTGGTGGGGAAATTAACCAGAGCATTCCAACCAGACATTTCTTCGAAGCGTTTGATATCCAGTTTGTTGACATCGCCACCGCACAACACAACTGTTTGTGGATGTTTGTCTAGTATATTATCCACGGTATTTACAAGATGATTCATTAGATCGATCTCTGCATAATTAAATTTTGGGGGATGATAAACTCCACATATTACAAATCGATGTCCCTTGGGAAGTCGCAGAGTTATACAAATTAATTCATAAAGACTAGAGCGGTAAACATCCTCTACTGCAAGATTGTTCCTGATGTATATAGCAATCCCACCCTTATTGCGCATATCTCTGCCATTCCAATTTCTGTCTCTACGAAAGATGGAATAGTTCTCAATATTTACAATCGCATCCGGTTGTGCCGGTTTGAGGTGTGTTTCCGATACGACACAAACATCAATATCTTTAGATCGCAAGTCAGCCTCAAGTCCAACCGCCGCACGCACTTTGTTCTTAGTTTTTGCGAGACTGCAAATATTGATGAACATACACTTGGGAACGGCAAACTCCGAGCAATCGGTAGATGATTTAGTAGGCTCTCGAGGAATAGCTGTAAGATATCTGTTCTTAGCGGGATCTTGGAAGCGATAAGGTCTAGCAAACCGCCGGGTTTTAACAACTTCAATGGGTCGACATCTGTCGGAGTGTTGCGATGCAGAGATATTTTTAGTAATTTTCCCCAATCTTCGTAATCCCGGACCTCTGTATTTCAGAATTCCCAGGGATTTAAGGGTATCGAAAACATGAGGCGCAGGTCGGCCCGCCGAACGTCTCAGCGAAAGTAGCCTGTCACGATTGTGAGAGCAATGGATTCTGACTGACCCAATTGCAGGTTGACAAGCAGAGTCCGAGGAGTTGGAGCTCTGTTTTCGTTTACCGTGGTCATTATCCACTTCTTCAGGTCCAGGATGTGGATGGACATCCATATTAACAGTAATGTCGAGCACAACAAACTTCTCAGGGGCGGCCAGGAAGACCATGCCTCGACTGTCCCATTTCACCATAGCCCTTCTTACCCGGAGATTTCGAGACCGGGATACTCTCAGCTCAAATCTAGCCATCCAACTAATGCATCTTGATGTTAAAGATTGATTTCGATAAGCTCTTTCGACTGTTATCATAGTTATGAAGGTAAAAATATAGAAAACTGCAAGAGCTCTAAAGAGCGTGGCAGCCATATTGGCATGCATATTATTTTGGTTTGTTCTTTTTCGTTTTTGTCGTTGTTGTTGTTTCATGCTTTTCTCACTGTTATAGTTTGAATCGAAGAAAAGAAGATAAAGATACTAATATAAGAGCGTGACGCTTTTCATGGCTAGTCAGCATTGTTTTCGTTCTCTTGCAAAGGAGTGATTGTGACTTCGAGTTCGTTTTTGGCACCGCGTTTGTTGGCGACAATACCGTTAGAGAAGTGACGAGGGGGAAGAAGGGGATTTTGGGAGATACATTTATTTTCTGCCAATCCGTGGCAGTAGTATTTATATATTTTCCCGATAATTTACAAAGAAGTTTTCTTTTGGCTTTTGAAAGTATAAGATTTCTCACAGAGAGCCAGGGTCACAGGCACACCTGGGTGCCTTCCGTTCAGCTAGGCTTTTTTCGATTTTTAATTCCTCTTCGGTGAAATGAGACAATCGAGAATCTGGATGTATATACACAATCGTTTATTTGAAAGTTCAACTGACTGATCTCAAGTCTTCAGTCTTACAATTACTGTTGTTATTTTATTTCGATTTCCAGTTATTCTTAGGGCCATGAATTCATCACCTTGATTACTGTCTAATAGGGTCTAAATTTTGTAAAACACGCCGGCGAAAAAGGCGAAAATGACAATTATGACAATTATGCAAAAGCCAACTTGAAAAAGCTACCGATTATCAACAAGTAAATACTAACCGACATGGTCAGATATTATCGATATTTCATCGGCAGAAATATTGGACAAGATGGCGGCCACGCTTGCGCATTTCGTCCATAATGGCGTCCAAATAATATAAGAAACTGTATGGAAATTTGTAAAATTTCTAAAATATAACAATCAGGAGCTCACGGTCCCGTGTTCTCTCGATCGAGACATATTCAGTACTGATTCTGCTATTCATCAAACCTCACAGGGACTCGATAAATAAAAACCACTCACTTCCCGAGCCAGTTCTTTTGTCATTGACCTAGGTCGCCATACAGTTCTTCAAAATTCAAAGTCGTTCTCCATCCCAAACACTCGCCTATTACAGGAAAGTGCATCAATAAAGTCAACTGCTCTCGATCGAATTGACTGCTATATGCTACAGAGTTCGAAGCGTCCAAATATCCTGTAAAATTGCCATTTCCTCCCATCAAAAAAGTTCCCAACGCGCCAGAATATCTCTTATTTCCCATGCTGAGTAAGTGACGAAGGCGCCATGTTGAAAACTATGACTGAAATAGTTAAACACGAGCAACGCTGATCTTCGAATCGTCGGCCATATTTGTTTATGTTCTAGCAGGGAAATAAATTAGTTCTCGGTCTTTTTCGGAATAAAAATATGCCAGGCATTGAATGCAAATTCAGTAGTCTTAGCGCGAAAATTAAATTAAAGCAAATCAAAGTTCTGGCATCATGTCATCGCTCTGCCTCGAAAAATCCCAAAGATTTACTTGCAGGTCTTCTTTTCTTTTTCTTTTCATCAAATAGAAGATCTGCGGTGCTCAAATTGTGTAAGTCATGGAACGAAACACTCTTCTTTGCAGATTGAGCCGTGATCGCCGCCATATTAAATTCTCTTGATATTCTATTGTTCCGGAGTGTAATACGATATACCGCTGATAATTGTTAGCGGGCTCGAAATGTCCTTGATTTCTGGCGATGGTATTCAGAAAGAAAAGCATCCTAGCTTAGGAGATAGCCACTTTAAATTAAAGATTCAGTTCATTATAGAATTTCCTGTTATGAACTTACTTTGGGGCCAGTTGGGAGCGCGGGCTCGTTTCCAGAACAGCGTCTGGTACTCGATCCCACGAACTACCTAATAAATGTTATCAATTAACTTGCATTTTAAATCGTTAACGGACATCTAACGACTACCGACGAAAATCTAAGACTGAGTGATGAAATTCTAACCGACAACCGACATAAGGATTCCCCTCCCCCTCATCTCGGACCCTCGTCTACTGTACATGTAATTCTTGTTAGAAAAAGTTTACCTACTGTCCTTACTAAGTTAATGGAAGTTGATTGTGTTAGTTGATCTGATGCCGATTAATCAATTCGCTTACTTGTAACTAGAATTCACACAATGAAAAAAGTCCACACAATAGTTTCTTTTTACATACTACAAGCAAACAATCAATTTCTAAGCCGGAATTCAGGACACTGTAGCAGATAAGCTTAAAAGTCCTACTTCTCGATGAAAAAACCATACATGTCGAGAAATGAATCTAAGCTCTAAATAAATCTAAAAAAGAAAACAAAACTACTGACAAAGTTAATTCGAACCCTTTCATCCAAGAGATTTTCTAGGATTTTGTCGCTGCGATGAAACTCTTGCTATATCTTAGCTCACCTCTCACACAATCTCACAGTTATCTCCAAATCTCCTCGAAATGAACAGTAGCTCATTCTTGGTATAGGTTTCTAAATAGTCGGTCACTCCCGACAACAGAAACTATTACTTTACGACTGAGTCCTTATATCAATTTACAAAGTACTCGAGAACATTCCGGAAGCTTACAACACAACTATATTTTGGTAGTTTTATATCATGACTACGTTTGCAGTTATCATTATCTGTAATATGAACATGAGCATTCTCGAGCGATTACATAAGTCTAAGCTAACTTTCCGTAGTTAAAACATGACTCCTCGCCCTCTTCATTTTGATGGAATTCTTGGTTGAGGCTGCATTACTTTCTACTCTGTTTGTCTTGGTGGAGTTCCTTGTATAGGCGTATGAGTCTATCAGCCTCTCTTTTCAGACATTCAGAAGACTGACGGAATTCCTTTGCCAGTTCTTCGCTGCTGGCGATCGTCTTAGCTCCTGAATATATATTCACGATGCCGGCCAGCACTCCAAAACCAGCCATCGCTCGGGAAAGAGCCATTGTACCAGTTAGTCCAGCCGTTGAAAGGGTTTCGCCTTCGACTGAGAGAGTACACGCGACCAGCCTTTTTATTTCCTCGGCTTGGCCGGTCGCGATATCCTTGGAATAGGATTCTGTGCTCGTTTCATGCTTCAGCCTTTCTAAGTATTCATCCGCTTCTTGCAGGTATTTACTACACTCACCCAACAGCGAGTGGAAGAGGTAAGTGGCGCAGAAGAGTGATGCTGTGGCTTCATTCACTTTTCTTCTGCTCTGCTCGTCCAGTTGGCCGTGCACCACGTTGGTTGTAAATGATGCAGCTGCTCCTGTGAACATACCGATAGCTCCTCCTGCAGCAAAGGGCAAGGTGGCTCCGCCTGTAAATGGAGCCAGCGAAAGACAAACCACAGAAACTAAACCTCCCACGGCTGACACACCTCCACCGACCTTTCTTGCGATACCAGTACCCTTTGTTACCTCTTCTAGTCTGCTGGTACATTCATCTATGACTTTAAAAGCTTTTTGGACTCTGGCCTCAAACTCTGTAATACTGTATCCCATGATGACGTCAAGATAATTTTCAACCATATTTTTCCAGAACAGTGCCTTTTTAAGGGGGTTTGGCTCTGTCAGTGAAAGTTGAAAATCGTCCCATGCCTTTTCTGGAACAAAATGCCATTTTTGGTGTTCCTTGCATTCATCGAAGCTTCTCATTAAAACATTACATCTGGGAGGTGAGCAATCGATAACAAGGTGACTCAGATTACTCTTAATGGCCCCTTTTTCGACTCGCCACTTTTGGCTGAGGCCATCGTGAGCTTTCCAGGCGTGACAGACGGCTTCCTCCTTCTTACTCTCATCTTTGATATCTGCCACAAGGCCCAGTTTGCTGACCAGCCGGCAACTCTCGTCCCATCTCCACAACTGACTTGACCGCCCACGTTCTGGTTTCACGATCTCAAGAACTCCGCTTTTAATGCCTTTACGAATATTAATAACCAGTTTACCGCGGCTGTATTGGCTCACTATGAAGAAATATTTGGCGTCATTTGCGTTACGTGGCGCCATATCCGTTAGTCAATGGCTCGTTAATTAACAGACCCGTTGGAGTGCAGGAAGGATTAATCCCCTCTGTCACGAACGTCAGACTGGGTTATTACCTAAGTAACGAAAAAAAGACCTCTGCTTGACCTGATCACAGACTTGTTATGGCCAAATGTTACACTCAAATTCATTAGTATATAAACGATTAAGGATATTGCATGGCCACTGAGTGTTGATGATTTCCTTCACAAGTCAGGCGAACGACTCGAAGAGATATTATCATCTCAAAAAGGTAAATAAGTATCCACATAAGGACATAATTATACTACTCTGTTTATCGTATAGATATCAATCACATATCCAAACTGAATGAGCAGACGAGAGTCATGCAGAGCCGAAGAAAATAAGTTCTCAGAACTAAGAAGTGTATTCTTGAAAAAAAGTTGAAATAGGAAGAATTCTGCCATTTGTAACCTCTTTCCTAGTTTACTCTTATCGTTTTCTGCATGATGATTTGGCCTTTTATTTGAGGTGACAGGCAGCGTTTTGAGAAAAACAAATCTTTGACAATTTGCTGGATTTTCCCGAATGTTGTCGTTGCATTGAAACTCGCTTTATTCGAGTAACTTCGCGTTGCTTACTTTTCGTCTGATTGGCCTTTTATTGTCATCACAATCACTTTGATAATTTGTGAAAAGTTTACAAACATTTCTGGCATTTTTTCTGTTTCATTCTGCCAGCGTAATGAAACTCAAGATAAGTCAACCTAAAGGCCAGATTCCCGGAAAACAGGAAATTCCGGAAAGGCCGAAACCCAACACCAAGTCGAACTGCGATTTGGTCAACCTTGAGTCATTGCAATTCAGTCGCCTTTAATTGTGTTCGGTGAAGTTTTCTCACACATGTGTATTCCAAAACTCGGTCTTAGAAATACTTGTGCTGGTAAGAAACGGGATTTCTTTTCCTTATTTTCGCTCGTTTTAAGCTAAGATAAAATGCTTTGTGCGTTGATAAGGTATTGCTTCGTGTTCGTTTACATGTTCTTTTCTTTCGGCGGTCGCTGTCGCCGGGTTTTGTTTCCCGTGTCCGAGACAATTAGAACGAGTTTAACAATAAAGCGAGCCGGGTCAGATTGAGGTTCAGACGAAACAGAAATTGTAAAGCGGAATGCCTATAAAATTAACAAAAATCAGCTGGTCCCATGCGCCGAAGGCAGTTTGAAGGACACAAAATAAACCTATTTTCTGCGAATTGATCAAAGTTCTTTGATAGAGCACTGATACATTTATGCGAACTTATTTTATTTCCAAAGCAGCAAGCAAAAATGATGTCCACCTGAATGTTATTGAACTTACTGATATGGAGTAGGAGTTCATGAAACAATAAGAAGAAAATCGGTTGGTTTTCGATCTCTGTTCCTTTTGTAAATACAAATAACAAAGGTCATTCAAAATGTCCGCTTGTCTCGCATGCATGAGTTCGTAGTATAAAAGCGTGATCATCGTAATGGACTGCACTGACATTATTTCTTTGGATGTCCTTTGCAAGAACGATTCCTTTCTCAATTAGCAGCGAAAGCATTCAGCCATTTCTCGGTAATGAGCTTAAATTGTGATTTATTCACGGTAGTCACTCATGATTCAGGCTGTGAGGTCGGAATAAATACAAGTAGCGCCATAGATGTTTAAACATTTGATATTTCGGAGGCACAAGTTGGTAAATTCGACGACTTAGGCCCTTACGAGCAAATATTTCGATCATTATCGTACTTATAGGGTAACTTAACGATCAAACAACCACTGATGACGTGAAATGTTAAATGAAATGATCAAATTAACATGGCAACCAAATTTTATTTGCAGAGTTGAAAAGGCGGCGATACAGTCAAACTTGGCTGAAGGGCGTTTTCAACTGAGTCAAGAACAAACGTACTATAACATACATGATTCATCTACTGCAAACATTGTTATCAAACCCCCATATTGTCGTTAACATATATCCAACGCCAGATTTATTCAGCTTGGAATGATCAAATAGGATATATACACGACTTTAAACGATCCAAATTATGCTTACCTTTTCTTGATGTTGCCCAAACTTTGATGAATAGGCGACAGACAAGTTTCGTTACATCATATCAAAGAATCAGTATCTTTGCATTCACCTTGAGATTTCCTTGAAACGAAAGATTCGTAGAAAGTAGAAGGTAACTTGATTTCAGTTTAAACTGAGTTATCTCTTTGGAACAACGCCAGCTATTAAGCCTTTTTGGAAACGTTTCCTAGAAAATGACTCGCTGTCCGGTGGTCACAGCCTCCGGGCAGGACTGGGACTGTAAATTTGCATTCTGATGTAAAGGAGTGTCATATGAAGGAAAATAACAATTATTTGTTGACACACGGCTTTACAACCTTAACCCTTTAACTCCCAGATCAAATTTTAAATTCTCCTTACTGTCAACTATGCAGCTCATGTAATGTTAGTTCAGAGAATTTAGTATTGGATCAACTAGTTATCCCCAAATTGATATTTTTCTCTATTCCCATCACTTATCTGTTTGATATTGTATTGATATTGTAAGGAGAAACTCAGTCTTGGTCACTCATGGGAGTTAAAGGGTTAAAAGATCTTTCCACCAATTAACTGTTAGTCGAGTGTCTCAATAGGATGATGGTTTTTACGGGTGACGATTAATATCTTGGCAGTTTTAACGGCCAACAGTATATTTCTTCGGGCTGCGATTAAAATAAAAAAATCACGTGAACATTTTTTACGGCTAGGGGTTAAAATTTGTCTATTTTTACGCCTGACAACTTAATTTTTTGGCCGTTTAATGGCTAGTGGTTAATCCCATTGAGATCCTCTTAGTTTTCAGGTTTTAGAGACGTTTCTGTCACTGCGAAATAATGTTCAGGAGGGAAGCCGAGCGGCGAATTTTTTCCCCCGTCTTTCATTCAGCGCTTGTTTTTTTCACAACTGTTCTTAATCTAATTATTTTTTTGAGAATTTGTAGGTGTCTTGCGATTAGGGAAACTAAGAAATGACTGATGACTGCTACAACGTTTGGAGCAGAAACTGTACAAAACTGCTTTGTTTGTGTTAATAATCATGACTTGTTTTTCGAAATATAACTTAGACCCGGCGAACCAAGAAGCAGTTAGGTGGGAACGCTTCTTCCGGTTTGTTGGTTATGAAGTCAGCTTGAAAAAGCGTGGCTGTAGTTGTTGACATCTGGGGGGAATTGTTTTTTTTTCTTTCACCCGAAAACTGTATCACTGTAATTGACAAAACTCATCCCTTACAAATACGGGCAGGCGGGTCAAATTATGAGTAAAATGAGTAGCAACTGACATCAAAATCGATCATGGTGTTTACCTTGTTTTTTCATCAAAAATTAAACCGCTTTACATTACAATGTTTTAAAACAACTACTAATGAGATAAAGTTATCTCATATCTATGTCTAAAAAAAGGCCAAAAATTAATTAATTACTCGAAAGCTGTTGGGAAGCACCTTTACTTTGAAAGATTAATAACCTAATTTGTACTCTGAGATCTGTGTAATCCTATCGTTATCATATGATTTCAGGTAATACTGCGTTTTGCTTCCTATTCTTCCAATTTGTTTCGTAGCAATACTTTTCTAATCTATCTTGTGTCCAATTTTGATCAACGAAGACAGTTTCATTTGTTTTAGCGCCCCTCATATGCCGCATGTGCGCATGTAAACATAAATCATACTATCTAAGGCATAATAATGATTTATGTGGCTATATCTATAAGAATAAGTACCAGATAAAGTCTGTTGACTTACTTATGTTTAAAAATTTCTTTTATAGCTGCTCAATGGTTAAATATATAGTAAGTCTTTCTCAACGCTTTTCGTTTTCCACGCTCGTACAGAGCTCGCAAAAGCACGACGGAACTTACAAAACAAGTATGTAATAATACGGTGTAAAAGTTACGTCATATTATGGTGATACATGAACGTTATCTGACAACATGGCTAGTGTTGCATTTCAAATTCTGCAAGGCACCACTGAGATCTAGACACACTGTTGAAAAAAAATTCAACATCACTCAAAGCTTATTTTCAGTAACATTACTCCATGCTCTCTACCTTGAGTTCTTTGTATAGGCGTATTAGTCTATGAGCCTTTTCTCTCAAAATTTTAGAAAATTGTCGAAATTCACCGTAATTCGCGATCTGCTTTCCACCATAATAAATGTCCTTCATGCTAGTCCATAAACCATAACCAAAGAACGATTCGGAAAGAACCTCTGCACCAGTTGTTCCAGCGGTCAGGAGAGTGTCTCCCACGATTGGGATGGTAAAATCAGGTGCTGCGGCAATTGTGGAAATTCCGACATCTGCTCCATCGCACACAAAAGAATCGATCTCCATAAACGTGGCCAGCCTTTTTATTTCCTTGGGGTTGGTGTAAATACTTTTAATAAATTCGACGGTGTCGTAGCCCTTATCAAGTAATGCACATTTCTCTGCTGCCATAGATTTTTCGTGAAACGATATTTGTTCATGTTCCTGTTTGTCTAAATATTCATTCGCTTGTTGAAGGCATTTACCATACTCACTCAGCAGCGAGTGGAAGCTACAGGTGGCACAGTGAAGAGACCCTATGCCTTCATGGACGTTCTTTCTCCTCTCCCTATCCAGATGGCAGTCTACCAGTTTTGCTGTTAATGATGTGACTTTCCCTGTGAGTGAACCGATAGTTCCACCTACAGTGAGAGCCAAACTAACGCCAGCTGTAACCGGAGCTAACAACAAACCAGCTATCGCTGCCCCGCCTCCAGCGACAGCCACACTTCCACCGACTGTCTGTGCGATACCAGTACCCTTCACTACCTCCTCGAGGCGGCTGATACATTCATCTATGTCTTCAAATACTTTATAGACTTTGGTCTGGTACTCGTTAAAACTGTATCCTATGATGACGTCAAGATAATTGCCAGCCACATTTTTCCAGAAGAGCGCCTTTTTAAGAGGATTTGGATCTGTCAGTGATAGTTGGAAGTCGTCCCATGCCTCTTCTGGAACAAAATGCCATTTTTGGTGTTCACTGTCTTCCTTGAATTTTCTCATGAAAACCTGAGCAGTGGGAGGCGAACCATCGATAACGAGATGACTCGAATTACTCACAATGGCTGCTTTTTCGACTCGCCACTTTTGGCTGAGGCCATTGTGAGCTTTCCAGGCATGACAGACTTCTTCTGCCTCAATGCCCAGTTTGCTGACCACCTGATCTTTGATATCTGCCACAAGACCCAGTTTGTTGACCAGCCGACCTTTGATATCTGCCACAAGGCCCAGTTTGCTGACCAGCCGACAATTCTCATCCCATCTCCACAGCTGACTTTCCCGTCCACGTTCTGGTTTCACGATCTCAAGAACTCCGCCTTGGATGCCTTTACGAATATCAATAACCATTCTACCGCGGCTGTATTGGCTCACTATGAAGAAATATCTGACGTCATCTCCGTTACGTGACTGCATCTCGGTAAGTTAAAAGTTCTCTAGTTATTTTCCTCAGATTAGTTGGAAGGAAGGAAGGAGTAATCCCTACCTATGTAAAGAAAAGAGAGATCTCCTTAGACCGGTTTACAGACTTGCTGTGCCCAAATTAATTTGATAATCAAGCTCACTAGTGTACCAAAACGCGGATGCTTCTTCGAGTATTGATAACTCTGTCACACGTAAGCGAGCAAGAGTGAGAGACAACAACTGAACACAAGAGGGTAAAATCGTATCGTATTCATATGCAGACTTGTAACTCGCAAGTTATGATATATATAAATATATAAAAACACGCACACACCATATATATATTACTGTATATATTACTATTTATATATGGTAATTAAGAATATACATATATTGTAATTAAGTAACGAGAATCTCACGATCATGCAGCTAGATCACCTGCTACTTCAAATTCAGAAATGAAAACAAAACAAGCTCTTCTTAAAAAAAAAACATGTTCTCCTCTCAAGAAAAGTTGTACGTAACCTTAAAAATGTTTTGAATTGGGCCCTTCGTGAAAAGTTAGAACGCTCATCATGTGATAAACCCGATTACCATGACGACAGTGTTGTCTATACAATTGAAATATAAATGATACGTTCACTGCGCAAAATCGGAAATCCGGGAAGCCGAAACTCGACACCAAATTTAATGCATTTTGGTCAACCTTGAGTTAATATAGTTCGCCTTTTACCACCGTGAAGTCGGCCTCAGTGATAGTTGTAACGGTAAGGAACGGGATTTCTTATCGTTCTTTTCGTTATCAAACAGGCTCATATACTGTGTATGGTGTTAGGGTATTGTTCCCGTCCGTATAAAGCTTCTTTTCCTTCGGCAGCCGCGCTCGGTTCGAATTCCCGTGTCTGAGAGATCTAGAATGAGTTAAATAAAAAAGCGAGATAGCTCATTTGATTCCCAACCCTGAAGCAAAAGTATCGACCAAAATACTCGCGAACGTGCTGATGCGGTGGAAGAGTTCAATGAAACGATGATAGGAAGCATTTCAGTGATTTTTCGAGCTCTGTTCCTCTTGCACAAATAATAAAAATAATTCAACATTTCCAGTTTTCTTGCGTGTGCATGTTCACAGTGTTATAACCGTAATGGACTGTACTAAACTGAAGTGTGTTGTAGACATCCTGCGAGAGCCTTGAAGAATGATTCCCCTCTCAATTAGCAGCGAAAGGTTTTGACCATTTCTCGGTAATCAGCCCAAACTGTGTTTGATTCACGGTAATCGTTTTCGATTTGGCAACATTCTGACAATGAGGTCCAATGAAATAAAAGTGGTGCTATAGGTATGTTTCAAATTTTTATGTTTTGGAGGCAATAGTAGATCAATTGCGACGGTCGACAAAATGTGTTGGTTAAAGGATCAAACGATTGCTCGTGACAGAAAATGTAACTAGGAATGTTTAATCTAAATCAAACATGCAAACCATCTAAATGCAAGGTTTCTTCTCTTTGCGATCTTAAGGTTTTTGATTGTTAACATTGGAGATACTATGATAGAGTAAAGAGCATTTTCAACAAAGTCGAGAATAAACACACTCTAAAGGTGCATTTATAAGACGGTGTATGCATAAAAATATTTGATGCATGTAATTTTTTGATGCCGCCAGATAATCAAATATGCTCTATATCTCCTCAGGGAACTACTTGATGACTTGAATTCAACATATAAGACCGAGTTCAACACCAGATACCTTAACAATGAATGATTTACTGGGTTATCTAAGTTTGAACAATCCAAATTACGCTTACCTTTACTTCGAAGCTACACAAACTTTGGTAAGTAGACGACAAACAAGTTCCGTTACATGATATCAAGGAATCAGTATCTTTGAGTGCGACTTGGGATTACCTTGAAATGGAAGATGCGTGGAATGTAGAAGGTCACTTGATCTCTCTCATACATGCACAACACCAGTCAGGTTACGTTTATTTATAAAGGATTTTCCTAGAAATTTGCGTTATTTATCAAACGCGAGGTCAAAACGGCTGGATATTGGCGGTTTTTTTTAACTGTTGTATGGACCGAGAAGAAACTGTATGTTCGAACGAAAACTCACGCTTTGGAAACCGAGCAGAGGCAGCTCTCGTCCGTATTTTCGCTCTCTCACTAGAATATTTGCTCTCTCGTGCCCATCTTCTTCCATTATGCGCATGCTCTTCGCTGTTAGTCTGCCAATCGATAGTCTTAAAGTGGCATCATAAACCTTTTTAGGGATTTAAATTGTAAAAATTCAATTTCACTGAATATCGATGTCTTCCCTGTTGCTATTGTTACTGTTGTTTTTGCAGTGGTACTCAGTAGTTAAAATTGTTCTTTAGTGTATGCCTGTAGGCCCAGAAAACAAGTGTGAAAAAAAAACATTTTTTTAGGGTGGCTGAGGTTGTTGACATCTGGATGGTATTTTTTCTTTTTTATCCAAAAACCGGACGAGGCATCATCGTTTCTAACAGAAAGGGTGCTTGAACTGCCTAACAAGAAGAAATAGGAGCAGATGGGCAAAAGAATGATGGAAATGAATAAAAATCAAACTTATTTAAATTAAAAAGTGATCATCGGCGCGATCATGGGGTTGACCTTTCTCATCAAAATCATATCAGTTTACATGACATACATGATTATAAACAACAATCGAAAAATAAAGTTACATCTCACATGTAAGTTCATGAAAAAGAACAAGAAGATCAATTTCTTGAAAACTATAAGGAAGCACTTGCCTCATAAGCTTTGTAATTTTTTTTTCAACGCACGATCTCTTCAAACCTACTAGTATGACATTTGAAGATATATTTATACTCTTATATGATATCAGTCATCCAGCTGCGTTTTATTACGGATCCCTTCTATCTATTTGTAATGATACTTATCTGATGCTGTGTCTTGTGTCAGATGTCAATCAACGTAGTCTGTTATTCGTTTTGGCGCCTCTCATGAGCGGCTTGAGCGCAACTATACGTAAATGATACGGTCATATGTGTAATTAAATTTACAAGAATCAGTACCACATACTTCTCTAGATTATTTAATTACACTTCTTTTAAAAATTGCCGTTGTAGCTGCTCGATGATTTACGATTTAATGTAACGAACATTTTGCAAAACGGTCGCATTTTTCCACGTTCTTACTGGGCTCGCGAAAATACTACGGAACTTAAAAAAATATCCGCGTGTACTTTATGTCAAATCATCAAATAAGGAATATACCATACTATAGTGCTGTTGTTACGTTATAAGATAGCGATGCTCAAAATTCATCATGCATTAATCGACTACCTGGCCAGTGTTGCTGTTTAAATTCTACGTGATGGCACTATCGAGATCTAGTCACGCTACTGAAAGAAAAATCGTCTCCATTACAACACTAAGAGCTTATTTTCAGTCACACAACTGCTTGCACTCTTCATCTCGATGGAGTTCCTTGTAAAGGCAAATTAGTCTATCGGCCTCTTCTCTCAAAGTTTCAGAAGAGGTGCGAAATTCCTCCGCTAATTCACCGCAACTTTGTATTTTCTTTGCACCTGAATATATATCAAAGATGCCAGTCAGCACTCCAAAAGCAGCCAGTGATCCGGAAAGAGCCTTTGCACCAGTTGATCCAGCGCTCAGAAGGGTTTTGCCCACGACTGGTATGGTAAACCCTGGTGCTGCAGCACTTGTGGAGATTCCGATATCCGCTCCTCTGTAAACAAAAGCATTGGCCTTAATAAACGTAACTAGCCTTTTTATTTCCTTGGCATGGCCGTATATGTTCTTAGCAACTTTGCCAGCCGCGCCGGCCGTCTCCACATATGTGTCCTCTTTTACTGCCACAACTTTTCCGTCAATGGAATCTGTGCACGTTTCATGCTTCTGTTCTGTTAAAAATTTATCTGCGTCTTGCAGATATTTACCATACTCTCCCAGCAGCGAGTGGAACCTATAGGTGGTGCAGAAGAGAGATGCTGTGGCTTCATTCACTTTCCTTCTTATGCGCTTATCCAGTTGGCCGTGTGCCAAGTTTGATGCTAATGTTGTAGCTGATCCTGTAAGCGCACCGATACCTCCTCCTACAGTGAGAGCCAAACTAACGCCAGCTGTAAATGGAGATAATAAAATACCAGCTATTACAGCTCCACCTCCAACGACAGTCACACTTCCCCCGACCGTTCCTGCGATACCAGTACCCTTTGTTACTTCTTCAAGGCTGCAAGCACATTCATCTATAACTTTGAAAGCTCTATGGACTCTGGCCTCGAACTCTTCAATACTGTATCCTATGATGACGTCAAGATAATTGTCAGCCATATTCTTCCAGAACAGCGCCTTTTCAAGGGGGTTTGGCTCTCTTAGTGAAAGTTGGAAATCGTCCCATGCTACTTCTGGAACAAAATGCCATTTTTGGTGTTCACTGTCTTCGTTGAATTTTCTCATGAAAACCTGAGCAGTGGGAGGCGAACCATCGATAACGAGATGACTCAAATTGCTCACAATGGCTGCTTTTTCGACTCGCCACTTTTGGCTTAGGCCTTCGTGAGCTTTCCAGGCGTGACAGACGGCTTCTTCCTTCTTACTTGCACCTTTGATGTCTGCCACAAGGCCCAGTTTGCTGACCAGCCGACAACTCTCATCCCATCTCCACAACTGACTTGATCGTCCGCGTTCTGGTTCCACCATCCTAAGAATACCACTTTTCTTGCCATTTTTAATATCAAGAACCAGTTTACCTCGACTGTATTGGCTCACTATGAAGAAATATTTAGTTTCTTCTCCGTTACGTGGCTGCATCTCGGTAAGTCGATGGCTCTTCAGCTATTTTCAACGAATCACTTGGAAGGAAGGATTGATCCGTCAGTATCGGGTCACTACCTGAGTAATAAAAAGACACATCTCTGCTTGATCGTTTCACAGCTCAAACTGGCCAAATTGGATACTCAATCTGACCAGTGTAACAAATAAATGCGTGAGGTCAAGATGTCTGGACTTATGGCCGAGTTCTTTTGTTGTTTTTTTAATAAAACGCAAAAAAAAAAAAAAAAAAAAAAAAGAAAAAAGAACGAGGCTAATATCCAGCCACCTTGACCGAATAAGCCTGGTCAATAAAATAGGTAGTACATAGCTAAAAGATTGCGACATGATAAAAATAAAGGATGAATTGAGTTGTATATTTCGAGAGCCGGGAAAGAAATCGAACAGTATATTTAGGAAAATAAATTCACGAGAGGTGTTTAATGTTCTGTTTGTTTTGGCTGTCTTCGGCTGCTTTATGCGACTCTATCGCCGAAATTGTCACAGAACATAAGAAGTCCACTCCACGCAATTTATTACTTGCGCCAGATCAAAGTGGGCAGTCCTGAGCGGGCAAGATGGGCCCATCCTGCCCACTCGGGTGGCCAATAAGAACACAGGATTATCACATGGCCACGCGTGGGTACGAATTTTATTTTCGAGCGTTGATTGGTTCCCTCACAGTTTACAGCGAACCTGTGAAAGATATTATCTCCACGAAAAGACAAATTCATATTCACATGCAGACATGTCATGTGTTGCTGGTCAAAATCAACGAAAATTTCAAAAAGCACCGGAGCATGTAGAGATCAACTGAGCGGAACGAGAAGAGCGAGAAAGCCAGACAAACAAGGGAGAATCTGGTCCTATTCGCCTGCTTTACATGAAAATATAACAAGCCCATTTTCTGAGAATTTATCAAACTTGTTGGAGAATGCACCGTTTACAATTAAGTGAGCTTTATTATAAGCTTTTCAACCCCTGAAGCAATATATCGACCTAAATGTAGTTAACCTTGCTGACACGAAGTAATATTTCGCGAAACAACGCCGGTGATAAGAACCGTTTAAAATTTCGATCTCTGATCTCTCTTTAGTAGAAATCACAAAAACATGCAGGAAAAGCTACAACTGACAAAGGTAATTTAACATGTTTTCTCGCATATGTGAGTTCATAGCAATAAACGTGAGAAAACGTAATGGAGAGCATTGGAGTTATTTTAAAATATTTGCTTTGAATATCGTTTGAATCAATGATTCCTCTTTCAATAAGTAGCGAAAGGTTTTGGCCACTTCTCAGAAATCGTCTGAAATTGTGATTCATTCACAGTAATCATTGATTATTTATTAACATGTAGACCGTGATTCCTAAAGAGACAGAAGTCAAGCCATGAATATTTGAACACCTGATGTTTTGGGGCGACAAGCTAATTGTGTTGCACGCAACGTGGGGTGTCTAAAAAGGAATCAAACAATTGTTCGTGACGCATATGCAAAATTTTTCAAATAAAAATGTTTAATCAAGTTCAAACATGCCCCCATTTAAATGCAAGGTACAGAAGGGCGGCCGAGGAAACAATAATGTTAATAATGTTTTAAAAAATGATGGTCCCCGATGAATTGATATTTGGCTGTGATTTTACTTTCGCTCAACCTCGGCTTCCATCAACTCCCGTTGAAATGTTTCTCCTCTTTGCCGGCACTATGAGTTCACGATTGATACTACTTCGCAACCAAGTCACTAACAAATGCACTCAACCATGACTTAGCTGATAAATGTTTCTGTTTTGCCCTATAACGTCGAAGTGGAGCCAATTTTTCTCGCTCCTCAGAGCAGTACTTGCATTCAGCATGAGTTCAGCGCTTAATGCTTTCAAAGCAACAATGAATAATCACACGGATTAACATGACAGACGATCCAAACTATGCTTACCTTACTTACGCAATTCTACGCTGCACAAACTTTGATGAAAAAACTGTGAGACGACAAACAATTGTGGTGACATAATCAAGGAATCGGTATCTTTGAGTTCAACCAAAAGATGCCCTAAAGGAGCTTGAAGGTAACTGCACCTCCTCATCCAACAGCTGTTATGTAGCTCTTACATGGTGAAGAAAACAAGACAAGACACAGTAGACGTCACACTATTATTTTCATTGTTTTCTTATTTCTGGTTGCGATGACATTCTATTGTGACGTATAGTGTCTTCTAAACCAAGTAAGAGCTTGTTATGTTTACTCAAACATTTCTTAGAAAACGACTTATTGCCAGGCCCTCACAGCTTCCGAGTAGGACTGGGAATGTAAAAATAATTCCGTTTAGGGGGAAGTTTATTACTGATCAAGTGAAATGTTGGAAGTGAAAATCACATGCACGGCTGTACATCTTTGAAAGATCTTTCCTGAAAACCTCTCAGCCTCTAATGTGTTTAAAATTTTGTTTCAACAACTTCCTGAGCTTTTTGAGGGTTGGACGAAGGACGCCACTTTTGGAGGGCATGCGCAAGGGGGGAGGGGAGAGTAGTTTGAATATCTTGTATCCCAGTAATGTATTCTTTGAAGATGTTGTGTCCACTTGAAATAAATGTCTAATCTAACTATAGTTGTAGGATTGTGTATGAGGTGGTTAGTAGTATGAACTCGACATGCTGAGTGCTTCGTCAACTGTATTTTATTTATATTTTGCGGTGGATTTTACAGTAATACAAATACTATATACAATTCAGTGAGTTTCTATTAAAGCCAAAAATAACAAATGGTCGCCTGGATAAATTATAATTTCAGGCATAAAGATATTCTCTGGGAAACAGTGCTAAGCTATATACACCTTAAACCTTGACACAAAACCACATCAGTCCTGGAACAAAAATAAACATCTGGAGGAGTCAAAAAATGTGACTTGTGCTAGGAACTTATACGTCCCGAGTTCGATACATCTCGTACACATCACAGTCACGTGTCTGTGGTAACATTCACCAGCCGCTCGTGTCTTTGGTCATACGATCCACGTCCTCTAAGCACCAGTCTCTGCTCTTCTTCCTTCAGTTGACCACTGACAATCACGACACACTCGTATTCAACACTGTGCCTGCAACGGTGGAAGTAACGAAGTCAGTACAACGTAATAACTTCAGTTATGAAAAATCTTAGTTATGAATCAAACCACGAAATAACTTTAAGGGATACAAATATGAAGATCACTTAAGACACTCCGAGTAAGATTTCGATAAAGACTCAGATGCAAGTTGTTGGACTTTCTTTTAAACATTCAGAAAACGTTTTCTTTTTGGAGCATGTATTTCCTATAAGCTGTTTTCGCGCGAACAATTGTATTACTAAGTAAAATTAAGATTTGTATTTAGGAAGCTTCTTTAAAACTGCCCATTTTGATAGATTTGAATGGGCAAATTTGAAACAATCCCTTAGAGCAGATGACATGAAAAACAATGATAAACTGGGAATACGATATGGATTATTGAGGATCATTTGCAGTTGAACGTAAGAGCGAAACATCAAACCACAATAACGAGTACAAGAGATCAACTTACTTAGATGTGAAGGTCACTTTAAGTGTAGTTTTGGTCTGGCTTGTAAAGCTAGAGTTTGCCTCCAGAAATCCTTCGGTCGGATTGACAACAAAAACATCTTGGCTGATAGAGGGATAACGTGGATCTATTAAGGAGAAAAAAAGAATCCCTGAGAGTGAGAAAGAGATCAATCGTAACGTCTGAAATGATTCCAGCGTGTTTCATCGGAATTTTCAAACTTAACCTTTCTTCGCGACCCAAGCAGAAGCAGAGCGAGAGGGATTGCGCAGGGTCACGTGCATTTCAACTGATTGGCCCACCAGGCACGTGCCAAAGTCCAAGACATCCTGAGACAGACGGAGAGTGGGAACAGCTATCGAGGCCATCAAAGGAATCACCTGAAGGTAAACAAGCATGATCAGAGAACGAAGCATAGTTTCAGATAATAACGACAATAGGAGTAAAAGTTTTTCGCAACCTTAAGGGGTCTTTATAGTTGAAAATTTCGTGAGTTGCGGTAAAAGAGCATGAAAGTAAGTAGCCCCTATTACAAATGAATCACCGAAATCGAAAGAAATAGCTTAATCTATTGATCTCTTAGGGTGACTTGCATAAATATCTCCTTACAACATCTCCCCTGAATCACACAGTATGGTGACGAGAAAGGTAATGATCACCAACTAAAGACGTTCTTGATTGTTAACCAAATTCTCCTCGTCAGCACCTTAGGAAATGTTTAGAGATCAGTAGGGAGAATATGTACATTGATGTTAGGGTGTAATGAATGATCAGGGTAATTACCTGTGAGGTATTGTTGGAAAACAGAACTTTCAAGTCTTGTTTGAAGACAAGTTGTCTGTCGCCATCATCTGAGGTAACGAGCATTACACCGCCAGTTTCTTCTTGTCCCGCAGTGAGGTCGTTCACTTTAAGAACAAGCTCGTCAGACAAGAAAAATCCAACTTTTAACTGAAATGGAAGCGGAGCACAATAAAATTATGAGTGTTCATTTCCAAACCGCACACTCGCTGACTCAATTCCCCCATATATATTGACACAAAAACAAAGTTTTGTTCTTTGGCCTTGAGTCAAATTGCATAATCGACATGAGCAGCAAAGGGCATAAATTGAATTTCTGCGTTCTGTTTGTTGAGCAACAATGTGGTAATATTGCATTTGCTTATGTAATCTGGAAGAAAGTGGTTGTACTCATTGTTCCTGTTTGCAGTCAAAGTCTTTCTCTTCTTCCTAAAATCCTATGTGGCTGTTGTAATGAAGTCGGGTTTCAGGGAGTTAAAACACCGAAGAGTTAATTGTAATGAACAAATTTAACACAAGTACATGGCGAGAGAAGCCTCCACCGCGCATGCGTAAAAACATGCTTAATGAATGAGACATTACAGCTGTAAAGCTCCTTTGCTCATCCTGGTCAATCCGGGCACACACCAATCTATTTAAGTACAATTTTCCATTTTCCCTCAAACGTGCTCTCTTTCACGAAGGTTGTCGAAGTTTATGCTGCTTCATCGCTAACAAAGTCAATCCTCTTACCTCTAACGTTTTAGCGGGTTTAATGGTGATACTGCCTGGAGACTGGGACTT